ATAATAATAAATAAGTAAATAACAATACATTAATAAATAAATGTGATTTCAACATTATTCACATTGTAAAGCTGCCCCCTCCAACATCAGTAAAAGATTCCAAATACCCCCTCATATGTGTGCCATTGTCTGCTTTACAAGACGTTTCTTATACTTCTTTATTCTTTCAATCCTTAATGATTATCTACTCTGGGCAGGACAGGAATATAAATGTGAATAATAGAGAGTTTTAGCCCTTATCAAGTCCATTTACAGATTCTGAATGGAGAATCAGAATAATGAAAGGAAACCTAATAAAGTAGAACCCCTCAAAATTTTGACATGTTACTAGTTCCGTGTTACTTTCTGCAGCCTAGAAAAAAGGCATATTTGTGACAACAGGGTTTTTTGATGATCAATTGCACTAACTTAAACAAGAAAAATCAACATATTGGTGTGTTTTAGAGTGTAAGAAGTTCCTTGCCACACTGCCATTTTAGATTTCTCAGACAGCAAGGGAAGAGTATATTATATCAGGGAAGTTTTTCACTTCTTTCTTCCATCCTTAAGGTCATCCCTTATCTCAATCAAGCTAGTCCTTCATGACTGCCATACTAGTTAAGACTGTCTCTGATCTTAGCTGTCAGAAGGGGAATAATACAGGTGATGAGTCCTTGAGTTCTAGGTGACAGGGTGAGATCCACTCAATAGCCAGAATAAATGATCCAGCCTTCAGTTTAAATTTGAAGAAAGCATTAGCATTCCTAAGTGGTAAAAGATTCACAGGAAAAATAAATTAGCCTCCCTCCATCCTCCCAAAACAGCCCTGAGCAGATTGTATCATTAACCTTAAAATAAACAAAGCAGTGTTGGCAACAAACTAAAAAGGTGGCTTGAGCATCCCTGAATGCATTATCATTTATAAGAGACAGAGCGTGTGGAGGGGAATTTCTGCCAGTGAATTATTCCCAAACGTGGGCATAATCAATGTCAGAGGTGGCATCGGTAAGGGAATGTCACCCTTCTGATACCTGCTTTAGGGGACCCTGACTAATCCTTCAGCAAAAGCTTGATTGGCAGGATGTGGTGGCTGGGCGACTATTCTTTTTTCTCCTTTGCTTTAAACTAGGCAAAGTTACTTAGAAGCATTACAGGCAGATGGAGGATAAATACTGGCTCCAGCTGACTGGCAAGACAGGCGTTAAATGCCTCATTCGATTTTCCCAACAAGGGCACCTTCAGCACAAATAGAAGATGGGATTGTAGACCTGGATCATTTTGATGGTTCCATTGCGCTCCAAGACAAGGACCACGTGCTGGTGCTTCTCCTGGGATTTGAGGAAAAACAGGCTTTGTATCCAGTGCTCTTCCTCCTTCCAGTCTTTTCCTTCTGGCAACACTTTCATCTCCTGCCCACTGCCAAAGTCCCAGATTTTGACTGTTCCTGAGTACACAGAGAAAAGACTGTGTGGGTAAAAATGATTTATAGAAAGCTTGGCTTTAATTCAGAGAAAATTCATCTGATTGAAAGCTTTCTGCCAAGAATTTACCCTATATTTATTTCCTACAAAGACTGATGGGTGAGTCTTCCCAGGCTTGCTGCGCATGAAGTATATTTCTATATGCCTTGATTTATCATAGGAAATAAAAAATAAACACAGGCCAGGTGAGGTGGCTCATGCCTGTAATCCCAACAGCAACTTGGGAGGCTGAAGCAGGAGGATCGCTTGAGGCCAGGAGTGTGAGAATGGCCTGGGCAATAGTGAGGCCACCTCCCTTCATCTCTACAAAAAATTAAAAAAAAACTCTACAAAAATTAAAAAATATATTAGCTGGGCTTAGTGGTACATGTCTCTAGTCCCAGCTACTTGAGAGGCTCCAGTAAGCCATTATGATGCTCCTGCACTATAGCTCATAGAACAGAAAAAGATACTGTCTCATAAAAACCCAAACAAACAAACATAAATGAATGAATAAACAGGAGCTGTCAATGTCTTGAAATCTACCCTCACACTCCCCGATCTAAGCATTTGCTCTTAAGTGGATCTTTCCTGTTTATTCTCTCAATGTTTTCCAGCATGCTAAATACTCCCTTCCCAACATGGGACTATTAGCTGTCAAGCTACAATTATTATTAACAGTAAAAGATCATTCCAGTAATCTGCCACATTTCTTAAGGTGCAGACTCCAGCTCTTATTGGATAATAAAAGGTTTGAGGGAAGGATAATAAAAGGTCTGAGCAGATAAGAAACTATCGAGTTTGGAGTTCTTTTGTTGGTTGTATGGGAGAGAAATGAAAAAGGAGTGTTGAGTTTTTTCTAATATTTGGAATCATACTTTCTGTTTGAAACCTAATCCCCAACATGATGATATTTAGAGAAACTATTAGGTCAAGAGGTGGCGCCCTCATGAATGGGATTAGTGCCCTTATGAAATAAGCCCCACAAAGCTGCCTTGCCCCTTGTATTGGGTATGGACTCAGTGAGAAGGCACTGTCATTGAACTAGGAACGGGGCCCTCGGAGGCACCAGATCTTCCAGTGCTTTGACCTTGGATTTCTCAGCCTCCAGAACTGTAAGAAATAAATTCCTGTTGTTTAAAAACACCTAGTTATGGTATGCTATCGTAGCAGCTCAAATGCACTGAGATACTTTCTCTATTGTTAACTTTATTCCTTTGTTTGGGGGACCTGGATGAAGGGGCCAGAAGGAATGATAATCAGTGCAGCTGTGGAGTGCCTGTCTCCAGGTCACTATTCTGTGAGGAAGATTATTTCTCACATAGGCGTCTATGTGCAATGGCCACCTCAGGGGTCGGATCCAGTGGGCCACCCCTTATAGCACTTTTTCTCTCCTCCATTATCCCCACACGCAAACTTGTTACCCCTCAATTCTAACCCTGCTAGACATCCAGCAGAGTGTTGTCCTTCCCCAATGCTGGGTTGTCCCCATCAGCAACACTTACAGCCCCAATCATTTGTTAGTCACTAACAACACCATTGATTAAATACTTCCTTTATACTCAGCATCGAGGTACAAGCTAGGGATATAAAGTGAATAATCATAGTTCCTTCCCTCCAGGACTCTAGGGTATTATAGGAAAATAATCATACAAATAACTAGAAGTTATCATATTCTCATACATTCCTGCGTTATGCAGACCCGGATTTCCTGTTACCCTGGGACTTTGGATGGAGAGCAGAGAGAGCTACTGTCTAGCTCTTTCTAGATGTCAGGTGGGTAAGAATGGAGAGGAACCAATGGCTTATGGGTAGAGCTGCTCTGGAAGTCAAGAGAATTCCACTTTCTAGGGTGTCCTGGATCCTGGATCCTTGTCAATTTAATATTGACAAACTGTCAATATTTAAAGGAATTCTAGATTCTGAGACTAATAGTAAAATGTGGCTTGCTTGCATGAAAATAATACTATCATTGGTCATGTATTGAATTGCTTAATGCTTATGCCTCATAATGATTGTGTACATTACTCAGAATTTCTATTACACATATAACTAATTTCCATATGCATGCAGGGATGCTTATGGAACAGTGAGACTGCTTTCGTAAGAGCTGTTCCACACGAAGGGCAGTTGCACTTACTCAGACCCCTTCAACTCAGCATTCATGATTTTACTTCATGCTGTGTTATCATCTCCTCACACTTTAAAAAATTAGACTCTCACATCAGGATGCTTACTGAATTCATCAACTGGCTATGAACCAGCACTTACTTAGTAGACACATCTCACGAATAAATATATCCTGAGTAGTGGGTGCTGTTGCTCATATTGTCTAGATAAAGCAATTCTTTCATGGGGGTTCAGAACAAAGGGAGGTGAAAGGCAGGGTCTCTTGTTCCTGGAAATCACGTGCAGTGCCCCTCGACACCGGAGCATCTGATGATATCATGCAACAAGTGTCCAACATCCTTTCGAGTTTGACATGGGGCATGCCCTCCAGGAGCCTGGACACATAAACAAGTCCAGTGTAGAATTCTAGGGATCATGTAGCCACGTTGGTTGGGTATTTTTTCTGCTTTGAAATCTATTGTCAGTAAAACCATTGTTAGCAAGCACTGAATCTAAAGTTTATCTCTTAGCTGATGGTGCCCAAGAGTGGAGGGATGGAATGAGTTAATGCAACACCGAAGTCCTACCAAAGATTTAAATGCAGACGGTATATGTGGAAGACTTTTGCAAACCATTAAAGCAACTATTTAACATATAAATGCAATGTAAGGTATTGATAATTTTTAATCTCAGTATCAAGACACTGATGTTCATGAGATAGGAAAGTCTAGCAGTTCACTTGGGCACAGGAGTTTCACTGTGAGGCTTACATATTCCAGCCTGATTCCTGCCCTCCCTCTACCCCAAAGAACTAATGAGTTACTAGCACAAGTTCTCAGGCCACTAACAAGGATGCCATGTTCTGGAAATAAACAGACCATTATATGCTCCTGTAGCAAAAAGAAATCCACTTTCATTAACAGCTGCAGACGTCAGTTCAACATTCATGCCATGAGGGTCTAAAATCTGGTATATTTGGAGGCCAGTCTCAAGTTCCCATACCTATAGGAAAAGACAAAAATGTCAAATAATCCATATGCTCTTCAATTCTTATCAAAATTTTACCAAATTTGAAACAGCCTCAAAATTGGTACTCTACATCTAATACCTTTCCCAGCACTCTATCCTGAATGTTGGTTTGGTCCAAGAAAGGTCTAAATTGTAAAGTGCTCTCTGATAGTTACTATGCTATCCTGACTGTGTCTGCTGCACACGTAGGTGGCTGACACAGGCAGTGACTCTACTCCAGGCAGCTCCTGGCTGTGGAGGGAGTTTCAGTGGCTGCTGGCAACCTGGAGCAAGGCTAGCTGTAAAATAGAAATGTAGCAATTACAAGTGCAGGAGACAAAATATCAAAGTGGATTTATTTTCTGGTGACACTCATCCACATGAGACAAGGGTCATAGAACAGGATCTGTGATTAACAGCATGGTACTAAGAGAACCCTGATGACAGAGTTCACTGGTCTTTCTAAGGAGTGTTCTGACTTGGGACACGTATGGCGAGAGAGAGAGAGAGAGAGAGAGAGAGAGAGAGAGGTGTGGAGACTTTAGAGGAGCCCATCTGGGTAATTAGGCTGGGTGTAATTAGAAAATCCAGACACTTGTCAAGACTCATCATTATCTCTCTTTGGAAACACTGCAGAGGCTTAGACCTGTAGGGTTTCAATCTGAATCTCTCTTCCTGGATCTGCCATGTTCAGATGTAAATTAGCCTGCTAATCCAGAAAGGTTGCGCTCCAGATGTTGGGGTGGGTGGGGAGAGGGAAGAGACAGCATGGGCAAAGGAACAGAGGTGGGAAGGTGCATCTTTCCTCCAGGGAACTGAGAGAGAGCGCTTGCAGCTGGGCAAAAAAGGGAGTGGGGAGGACGTGTAGCTGAAGAAATAGTCTGGGAGTCAGATGGTGAAGGCCCTTGGTTGGGAAGTGCTGGAGATGGGATTTGAATGAAGTCCTTCTGGTACTAGGGCCCACACTCTTAACCTCTGGGTGCCCCCTGGTTATACATGGGGTCACTCAGGGAGAAAGAGGAATGAATGGGTCCCAGGGGTCACCCATCCTTTGGCCTCAAGTACAATCTCTCTCCAATCAGATATGAAAAATCCCACGGATGTATTCCTTTCCCCTCGTCTCTTCCACACAGGGACCACATTTTCCTCTGAAGAGGTCAACAGTGCATGAGAACAGGACAGGTTTTAGTTTTAGCTTCTCTCCCACAGGTCTCCAACCTTTTTATTTTCTGTCCCACGTTGGAAAGATAACTGTTGTCTTCAGTCACACATTAAATACACAAACACTAATGAAAGCTGATTAGGAAAAAAAAAAAATGGTCTGTGCATACTGACACCACAGATAAGCACAGAGTCCTTAATAATCTGCCTGTAGCCCGTGGACTGCAGGTTGGACACCCCTGACAGGCGTTACTAGAAATTAAGTGATAATTAACTAAAGTCGGGATATTTGGGCTTGAAAAGATCTCTAGCAGATGAACCCAGAACATCAAAGACTGAGATTCCTGAGAAGGAATTTGAAGGGTTTCCAGAATATTCTAC